TTAACATCTTTTAATTCAGTCATTCGAAGGCCATGAAGCTGACATAAATACTGTTCGGTTTCATCCAAACGGCGACGCATTTGCTACTGGTTCTGATGATGCAACGGTGAGGAACTCTTCATTTTCTCTTTTTTTCTCTATTGTATATGATTTACCTGGACTCCTTAGTACGGGGAAGGAAGGCATGAGCAAGTCAATGTTCAAGCCGCAACTCACATGAATCATTGTTACCCAAGACCAATTTTCGTCCAGTACAGTACTTCCTGCCTGTCGCTTTGGAGAATTACGGTACTGGGCGAGAGTTTTGATTTGGCCACGAAATTTTGGGATGGGCTTAAACACTGTTTAATGGAAAACCTATGTAGCAGCTGGCCAAGAAACACTTCTAGGAGGCACAATTTATTCATCAAAGTTTTTGCCATTTTTATTTTTTTGCGTTTGAAGGCTATGATGTCAAAAAAAAACAACCTTTTGAGTATAATGTGGCATTTCAGTTTACTGATTATTTGTTATTTTTTGTAGTTTTTTCACATGCTTGTAACGTCGAGCACATTTGGAACAAAGAAGTAGAAACATATGTATGGGCAATCAAGGGTACCATAATTTCTTACTTTACGATCCAAGCCTTTTTCCAAATATAGGGCTAGTTGTGAATTTGCAAATTGCCTACAGAATTTTATGATTTTGCTTAAGAAATTGCATTGTCCGGAAAAAACACTTCCATGCAGACACGGAAGGAGTGGCTTTGAAATTTATGTTAAATTGAATGACGTTCGCCGAACACTCAGACGCACACGAAAATTAGGGAAAGTGCCTCTCGAGAATGGAAATTCACTTTTCCAGTGTCGTTTATTCGATTTACGAGCTGATCGTCAAGTATGTGTCTATGAAAAAGAATCTATACTATTCCCAGTGAATGGAGTGGACTTTAGCGTGAGCGGTGAGTATTTCTCACCATAAAACGATTTTCCTTGAAGTTTTATGGCTAAAATCCCTATTAAAGGACGCATTCTATTTGCTGGTTACGGTGACTATCGCGTCGGTGTATGGGATTCACTTAAATGCGTACGTCATTCTGTACTTTATGGCCATGAAAATCGTATCAGCTGTTTACGAACCAGTCCCGATGGGACCGCTATATGTTCTGCCAGTTGGGATTGCACTATTAGGGTAAGAGCTTACCCTTACGCTTACCCAGCATTACCCAACCTTACCCAAAAATTGTTTTCAGATCTGGGCGTAAATCTCGTCCCCCACCCCATCTATGCGCCACTTTCATTGCAATTCCCCGCATAATTTTTTTTATATTCGTCTGTGTTCGATTGTCATTGTGAATCTAAGTCATGTAAAAAATAAATTAATTTTCTTGTATTCTTGAAACTTGTTGAATTTTTTATTTGATACTCAAAATTGATTATTTGAAAATGAAAGACACACACAATTAGATAATTATAACCCTATAATACAACATGGTTATCGATTAATTTACATGCTATAAATACACCGGTAGGCGTGAGGAAACAATATAAAAATTAAAAAAAATGTTACATAGTGCTGGCACATTTATTGCTTCTGCGTTGGCAGTGGAGGTCGATATGTAGGGGACGAGAGGGGCCGGAGGGGGGTGCGGACAAACATGACTGGGATTATTTTCAGAAATGTACGGCTTTCATAAACATATCGTAGGCTGAAAGTTTTCCAAAAATTTGCTCAATTTTTCGAGAAAGTAAGAGAACTGGAACGAAAATTGCTTACACAAAAAATATTTTGGATTGAGCATTTTCTTTTTTTGTATCAAATTTTCTTAAGCTGGTTGGCCCTTTGACAGCTACAAAAATTTACCAAAGCAAAGATCCTTAAACAAAGGCACCGAAAATCTGCTCCACCAACTGTCTTCTAAATAGGCTTATTGCTATAAGGGCTTAGCTGAAAGGGTAAGAAGGTAAGAGGGAGTGGGGTGGGCGAGGGGGGGGGGAGGGCAATGGGAGATAACGGAGTCAAAAAATAATGCATCATTGGAGAGAAAATTATATAAAGAACGCGTTCTTCTCTCAAAAAAATTGTGTGGTTTTGCGAGGGGGAGGGAATGGCATGAAGTGAAGATAATGAGCTATTTTTTGGCTTCAGAAGGATTTTCTGAAAATCCTGGGCGCGGATTACATGGTTCCTTAATGAAGAAAATTTCTAGTCTAAGGAAGAAATTACATAGCTTTTCCAGCCACTCAGTTATGAACTTTTAAGGGCCTTTCCTTTGCATTACTGTTAATTTTATCCTAATCAACGATGCAGTCCTTCGCAACGTTCTCTAGAATATCATGGAATTTTCCAATATTTTCATCCGTAAATACTCGCTCAGGTTGTCCCACAATCACTTCGAGTTCTGGCCGAGCAATGGCGAACTAAATAAGTTTTTTCGTGTACGGTAAGATTACGGTAGCTCAAAAAATGTTGTGCACTTACCATGTGGTTGATAGCGATAGCATATGTATCGGGAATGACATGTCTGAGTTGTTCAGCAGCTTTCAGTGCCGATCGTCTACCGTATCCATCGGTGAAGATTACCGCTACAGGTCTAGCATGACCTGGTCGAGCACCGTTGTCCACTGTATATTCGTGGAATGCCTACAGTAAACTTTATTGGATACTGTAGCTATCGGGTATACTGTAGCAAAAATTATAAGGCGACGAACAGTAATGGTGCACGACTTCTGACATCACACAAGGAAGATGTGGTATAGAAAAAAATTGGAGGTCATGCTGCTGTCTATTCCGTGCTCCGTAAGTGGTGTAATTGCACACAACATGCACAAGGAATTTAGAATCCAGATTTTTTCTGTCAATAAGGACTCATACTATCCGGTTAAGTGTTTTTACAAAGCCATTTTTTTATCTTTTGGTTTCTAGCGCATTCCGGGAAAATTGAAAATTCAAAAAATGCGTGCGGGATCCAGCGAAGTTCAGGTGTTGACGAGCATTGTGCATGTTGTGTGCACTTGCACACCTATGAATGCTCCGCAGTGCTTCATTCGTATAACTGATCAGAAATACCACCCGTATAACATTTTCTTAAACTGTAAAACGTCGCAAAGCGGTAAATAGAAATCAGTCTTTTTTTGTGGTGCCCAAATACGGTAGCATACGGTAGCTATACTGTAGCATATTGCAGGAAGTTTTCCCAGCAACTTTGCTGCAGCGGTTACCAACAATCAGTTAGTGCCCCTGCGATTTTTCTTTATGAATTTAGGCAATGCATCAAACTGTAGAAAAAATAAATCTACCTTCACCAAAGCCGCATCGATGGCTGTTGTACCAGAGCTGAAATGGAGACCGTCTAGAACCCGAAGAATTTTGTTCTTTGACTGCGGATCATCAAACGAATACACAGTCCGTACACTTTGACTTCCAGCAAATCTTATGATGGTAACCTAAAAACGCTCTAGATTGGGTAACTCAACCCATTTTGATCACTTCGCTTACCCTAGCATTGTCAGGCCCAATCCTCAGTCGAGAGATAATGCCAGCTGCAAGTTCTTTTTCACGACGGAAAGTCTCTTCAACACTTCCAGAAGAGTCCAGAACGATTATCAAGTCGATAAGACAACCTAGAGAACAAAATTTTTTACCCAAAGAAAATGACTGGGAAGATATGCTGACCTCTCTTAAATACTGTTGACGACTCTACAAGTTCTTCTGTGGTTCTTCTAGTAAAGTGATGAGTGAACGAAGGCGTGGTGGGTTGACGAGTGGTTCTAGAACATTCATTTGAAATAGGGAAGGGGGGGG